CCATATGGCCTTAAGGCAAATTACTTTAACTTCTCAGACTCTATTTACTCATTTTGGTTACTGTGAGGATCACATGAGCTCATATATACAGAGTGCTAAGCAAAACATCTGATCCATAGTCATTGCTCAGTAAACAAAAGCTAATCTATATTTACAAATTGTTCCTGCCCACTTCTGATATCTTATTCCCTGGGGATGGACATAGACTGAGCAAAGGCTTCTGAAATCTTTCCTGTATAGCCAATATCTACTGTTTCCTTCATTCCAGCCCTGAAGTGCTGCAACTTCTGCTGCTGTTGGGGGCTTCCCAGCTCAGTCCTTTCTTCCTTTACATTCTCTGGCACTAGATAACTAATGGCAGGGTGGATTCTTTAGGCTTCATACCTTAATTACCATCTTGTTTCTTCCTGGGTTGATTATACTGAGTGTTGCAAACCAGAAAAAAAGAGCCAAACTGGGTTTATAAACTGAAATGATTAATAATATGAATAAAAGAGCTACTATTTATTGAGATCCTAGTATATACCAGGTACTAAGCTAAGCCCTTTTGCATGGATTGTTTTACCCAATCTCACAACAGTCCCAGGAAGCTCAGAGGGGGAGGGGACTTGCTCAGTGTCACATGACTAAGATATGAAAGATCTGGGACTGGACTCCAAGCCTGTCTGACTTCAAAGTCTGTGCTCTTAACAATTTTGCATGCTGTTCTGCTCAATATGGAAAAGTTCAGTTTGAAGGGATAGTTCAGTTTGAGGGTAGTTCTCATGGGACCCTAAGTTAGTTCTTATGAAAGTAAGTTGTTATAAAAGAGTGAACCAGATCCCCAAATAGACACACATGCACATGTGTGAGTGCATGTATTTGTGTGTATGCATACATTTTTGCAACTATGTGTATTTGTGTTCAATTTTGTGTGAGCGTGTATGTGACTGCATATATGTGTATGCATTCATTGAAATGGCATTTAGTCAAGTCCTACCAAATGTCAAGAACTGTGCAAATTTTGGGGACAAGATGGTGAACAAAAGAGAAATGATCTCATCT